GACGGGCGGGGGCGGGGGGGGGGGTGTGGACAGCTGTCACTCACGCAGCTGGGTGGACCTCGACATCGATGTCGGGATCCGCTCCAGCGTCTCAGTATATAGGGAGCTGTAGCTCGCGGTATACTGAGCTTAGGGTGACGGGAGGACGCTAGTTTGTGTCCTCCCGTTACCCTAAAGAGAACTATGGAGAAAAGCCCTGACCCCATAGTTCTCCTTTAAGGTATAGGCCGCTGATAACATGATAGAATTGATTACCAGCCTGAGATAGAGCTCTCTGTGCTGGTAAACAGGACACAAGTGATTTTTCCCCGGTGGACACTTGGAGGAGAGCTATCGGAGGACATGCAGGTAGCGGCAATGACCTCTGCTTCCTCACTCCTCTCTGCACAATGTCAGGAAGCAGCTGCCCAGCTCAGATCAGACGCAGCGGTACTACAGGCAGAACATTCTCAGTGCTGCTCGCACTGCCTGGCCGTCCTTGCTCTATCAACAGCCTGAAGAGTCATTAAATGTAATCTACGGATCTAATCTCCACAAGCAGGAAAACATTCCCCATGTTATTGATTAGCCATGAAATGGCTTTTAAAAGATATTTATGGCCCTTGTGGGTCAAATGTAAATAATACAATTGTATCCAGGGCCCACAGCTGTTGTTTATGTCTGTAACAATGTACCGTGCATTTTAAGTACTAAAAAATAGTTATGCAGAAAAACATGCAAAAACATGCATTGCAACACCACTTCAGTACATGATAACTGCACCTATAAAAAAGGAATGGGGAATACAGTTCAGTTACCCTTTAAGGATGAACTCAGGCCTAAGTAAATATTGCCTACATACAGGAGCAGTGTGTATTCATCCTTCAATCTTAGTCACTGCTGCTCCCCTTGTGCAGGGTGACTGGTCTCGTCTCCGCCCCCCTCCTGTAATAAAGACCGCTCACTGCTGCTCTCTCTCCTTGTGCAGGGTGACTGGTCTTGTCTCCGCCCCCTCCTGTAATAAAGACCGGTCACTGCTGCTCTCTCTCCTTGTGCTGGGTGACTGGTCTTGTCTCTGCCCCCTCCTGTAATAAAGACTGCTCACTGCTGCTCTCTCTCCTTGTGCAGGGTGACTGGTCTTGTCTCCGCACCCTCCTGTAATAAAGGCCGCTCACTGCTGCTCTCTCTCTCCTTGTGCAGGGTGACTGGTCTTGTCTCCGCCCCCTCCTGTCATTTACTTTAGTGGGTGGGGCCTACTGGGTCCCTCTCACAGCTCTGCTCCCTGCACAGGCTATGTACAGTGATGATGTCACTGCTACTTTTACAAGATAATATTTAGGCTTGCAAAGTCATTTGGTGCACACAAAGTGGATTTGACCTCCTTATGGCTACTGAAAAATATATATGAGTGAATGTTTCTGTGCCCAGAGTTCCGCTTTCATTTCAACAACCGCTTTCACACATGGGTATTTGTTTGCGTGGAACTTCAGGAAACCACCCTATAATATTTTATACTTTGTTTAAATGTGTCCAGTAAAATTACCTAAATCTTTTAAATTCAACTTTCCACCGTATCTGCAAAACGGAAATCAGCCTGACAATGGGAGGGGGAGGGGGAGGGGGTGTTATATGTGTAAGTGTGCATGTGTTTTTATTCCTGGTTCAGAACTATTCAGATACAACGTGCTGAGCAGGAGTGGCCACAAAGAGCCCCACGTACAGGTCGGCTAGAACTATGAGGTGAGTGAAAAGCACTCCCCCTCATACTTCTCCTTTAATTATTACAAGTATGCGGCCCTAATATTTGTCTTCTTGTCATTCTGAAATTAAACTGGCCTCCGCTCTGTAGCCACACAGTCATACACAGCCACATGCAAAGTTCGTCTATCTGGAGCAATACCTGATATTTTGAGAATGTTTTGTTCCAGCGGCACCTCCCCGTCTTTGATGCCTTCTCTCTCCAGCAGCTCGGACTTGATTTGCGGAGACGGTTCCTGGGGAACCATCATGGTAGCGTAGGTGCTGATCACCAGAATCACCAGGCCGACTCCAAGAATGAACTAGACACGGACACAAGAGATCGCATATCAACTGCAGCCACATCCTCCACCGAGTACAATCACAGCAAATATCGCCAAACAAAACCGAGAACACCAAAGCTGATTTATAAGAGGAAAAATAGGTCAAATGAAACAAAAACTTCATAGGAATCATTCCCTAATTACTTTGAGAGCACAGACTCACCGGGAGGGGACAGAATTTGGTGCATCTATTTCAGACCTAATGATGGCAATCACGTAGCATCTAGCGTACTCTCATTCCGGAGGCAAGCGCTTTTTAGATGACCATTGTATGTCCCTGCTGTTTTAGTAGGACTGTGAGAGGAAAGGAAAGGCTTGTAGGGGCAGCAAGGGAGCAAATGCTTCCATTGGCATGACAAATAGGAGATGGCACCTTTGCATGCTTCAAACCGGATGATCCTCATCTTCAGAAGAGGTCATGTGACCAAATGCCAAGGCTTTAGCCACAAGATAGGCGCTAGAGCATGGGGTAGCAAACCTCCGGCCCTCCAGCTGTAGTCGAACTACAAATCCCATGAGGCATTGCAAGATTCGCACAGACATGACTCCCGAAGAGAGATTTGCATCATGTGATTTGTAGTTTCACCACAGCTGGAGGGCCGGAGGTTTGCTACCCCTGCAATAGAGGGAGACTTGGAGCCGCATTTTCTCCAGGAAAGCCATTATTGTACTCATTTATCTATCCCAGCATGGCTGGTAACAAAGCTATGAAAGGGGCCCTTTTGGTAGCGCAAAACGTGCACAACTGTAAATACAGCTCCAGCCAGAGAGTCAGATCCGCCTGCATGCTCTGTCACACTCCTTACAGCAGGGGTAGCCAAACTCCGGCCCTCCAGCTGTGGTGAAACTACAAATCCCATGATGCATCTCTCTCCGGGAGTCATGGCTGTGGCTGGGAGAACCTTGCAATGCCTCATGGGATTTGTAGTTCCACCACAGCTGGAGGGCCGGAGTTTGGCTACCCCTGCCTTACAGGTTGCTCAAGAGTCCTCCAAACTCAGCAAATACCAACTTCGGCTAGTGTTGTCAGGGCTTGGGGCCAGCCCCTCCTGTGCCATCATAATGGTATCATAATGTTAGGCTAGACCAGCCTCTCTCAACCACGGTGCCATGGCACACTGGTGTGCCTCCTGGCCTCCTCAGGGGTGCCTCAAAATTTGGATGTAGTGGGACTGTGATGT